AAAAAAAAAAAAAAAAAAAAAAAAAAAAAAACCTTTCTAATTGGTCACAATCAGACAATGGAATAATGTTAAGACTAAAGGCGGAGAGAAAAACACCAACAAGAAGTCAACCACCAAAAAAGCACTGAAAAATCATGTCTAGAGTTAGGCTTAAAATTTCATAGTCTCGAAATCAAATCTTCAAAACAAGAGCACGTTGCTTACACAGTTTCTTTCTCTTGGAAAAGTTACCTTTGAGATTTAGAGAGGCGTCCTTGAACCCTGTTACAAGTATTAATTCCTCCATTGCTAAGAACCATAGGAAGTATTTGGCTTTCTAGTCAGAGAAGAGGTCGGCAACTTCGGCCAGTAATATGGAAAAATAATAATTTACCCAGGACTTGCTAGCTTCCATTTATCTCAGCTCGTTTGAGATAAAAGTACAGTGATAGGACCGGTCATGTCACGAGAGCCCACCCAAAGGAAAAGAAAGACTGACGAGACTATATGATGTGTAATATTTCAATATTGCTTATGTGGGGCTGTAAATATTATTTAGTTAGGGGAGGGAATACATAGAGAGACAGACAGATTCTTGGGAGCGTACGTTTCGAGGAATTAATTATCTTGATCTCTGAGTGAGGCAAGAGGGAAAAGACAGGGAAAGGGAGCACTTTAAATCTAAATTTCCTTTGGCTTGTACCATCTGATGCATAAATAAACTGGTTTCTATCATGAAGTTCATCGAACAGTTTCGGTCGATTCAGTAACACACGTACATAACCATAAGAGGAACACAAGTACTCAAATGAATTTAAACTCTAGGAAGAGATCTATAAGGACACTAGTAAACCTACCTTTCCCCTCTTAGAAGCTTCAGTATGGCGTTCGAAACTCTCTCTTGGATGAAAAAACTCTTTATTTTTCATACTAATCCTCTTTACTATCCCGAAAAAACTTCACTCCACACAAGTTTCTTCGTGAAACTTATGACCTTCCCAACCCCTATCTGGATCTTCAGTCTATCGAAGTTCGAAAAAAGATAGCAATTAAGTAAAACTCAGCCACATATTTCAACTTCAGAACGAGTACAGCCATAAAGAAGTGTTTTTAAAGCTACATAATGCGCCAAAGTACAAGCATCACAGATTCTAATCAATTCAACTTAATCATTCATCATGAAGAGCAAACACATATAACAACTTCAACGAATTAAAAAACTCCATATATATATATATAGATATAGATATAGATATACCTGCCATACTTCCACCAGCTGAATAGTTTTTCTTCTCGTCCGGATTTTGATCACGAAATTTATCATAAAAATTACTTCTCCGTACTGCACCCCGATGTTTAACCTCAATCCTCGGAGAATTAACATCCAACTTACTACTGAAATCGTTTCCATTCGCAATTTCCGGTACCGAAGGTGTTTTTAATTTCTTATCATTCAAAGACCTTTTTGGAGTATACCTAACAGGACCAGACGAGCTATACACTCTAGCATTCAAGCAAGTAACAACGACGCTGTTCTTCACCCTGGAGATAATACCTCCACCATAAAAATCAACACAAGAACAAAGTATTTCAAGAATGATATTACCATATGGAATGAGAAAAACGAGAATCCAATCGCATGTTCGAATCCCTTTCTTGAAAACCAAACAACCGGCAGAAATAATTAAGTAAGGTTACGAAAAACTAATCACCAGGATATTGAAAGAGCTCTAAGTTGAAGCTGAATCGAGGCTCGGACGCTGAAACCCGCCATGGCTGTCATTTGTCGACGGAGTTCACGAAAATCGTCGTCGGAGTTGTGAAACCTAGAGATGATTGACGTTGCCGTTGCAACGCTGTGGTGGTCGAGAAGGGAGCACGAATGCAATCTTCCGTTGAACTTGGAACTTTCTTCAGGTGACTGCCATGGCCGCTCACTGGATGAAATAATTCTCCGATCATCAACTAAGACCCAGTTTAATAAACCATTTGGTTTTTCTAAATTAAAGTAATATTTATTTATTTATTTATTTATTTATAAGAAATCAATTATTAAATCGGCCTTTTTTTTTTTTTTTTTCCACAAAGTTTTAAGGTATTTTTTAAGATTAAATTAATAAAAAATATTCATAAATTTTGTATAACAAATATTAAAAAAAATAAAAAATACTTTATAAAAATTTTAAAAATTATTAGAAACTGTTTATTATCCATTCACGTATCATCTCACTTTTAATAATATTAACAACAAAAACTTTTTAATTTTTATTCTAAAAATTTAGTGATATTAATGTTACTTTTCAAAGTTTTTAAGGTATTTTTAAAATGTGATATTAACGGTTTCGACAGTAAAAGTATTTTTTTAATTTTTTTTAAAAGTTAAAAGATATTTTGTTGAGGATGCTCGGAATACTATCTCCATCTCCATTGGCACGAGACATTTTGGGAAGTTCATTTTGGAAAGTCCAAAGCAAAGCCACGAGAGTTTATACTCAAAGTGGACAATATCATATTATTTTGGAGAGTCGTGATTCCTGTGACAATATCATACCATTGTGGAGAGTCGTGATTTCTCTGATTCCTAACATGGTATCAGAGAGTCATGATTCCTCTGATTCCTAACATGGTATCAGAGTCATGCCCTAAACTTAAGGATGACAATATAATTCTCAAATATCGAACAAAGAATTGTGAGCTTCGAATTGACTAAAGTGTCGAACAAAGGAGTCGAGCCTCAATTATATATTTATTAATAATTTAACTATTCTTTGTTTTGAAACTTACCATTTAGTCTCTAAATTAAATTTTGTAATCATTTGATTTATGTTATAGTAGGACCTTACATTTAAATAACGATACCGAGACATTTAAATTTTCTTTTTTAAATCTTAAATATTAAAGTTTATTTTTTAAACAAAATATTAATGATTTTTATCTAAATGATATATTTTAGATTTTTATAAAAAATTTAAAAATTTTATTAAAATTTTAATGATATTTTTTAGATGGAGTAAAAAGTTAATGAATATTTTTATTAATTTATTCCTTCTAAAATACAAATAATAAATGGTTATCATTTAAAATTAAGTATTTTTTAACCTAATTTTTTTTAATCTAACTTTTATGTCCATTGTCATTGCACTATCAATACAATAATGATATATATTTATCATTAAAAGAAAATATTATAAATTAGTGATTAGTAATTTATGATCTATTATCAACTTTTTTTTTTTTCATTCATATTTTGTTATTTATAAATCACTCATTTATCCTTAAATTTAGTTGAGGGCATTTAAGTCTTTTAACTTACCCTCAACCATTTTTCACTCGAGGTTTACATTTGGGAGTATTATTGGTTTATCCGTGACACAAATTTTTATAAGAAAAAAACTAACTCCACAAACCAACACGTTTACTTTCAGCAATGTTTTATCTTTCACTCACATGTTTTTCACCCAAAGAATTTTGAGAATTATAATTAATATACAAAGAATAACGGAGTGAAAAGATAAAGCTACAAATATATATTTTTTTTAATACTCATACCTCATGATGTTACCAAAAATTTCCCACGAGGTATTGATCTACTCCTTCTAAATTCAGGCATTGATTTGTCGGTGACTTCACTTTGATTGCGACTCTCATTCTCGACTTTGTTTGTAGTCAGTAAACTTTCAACGGCTACTCTATTCCATAGTAAATCACAAAAAATCGTTTCATTGTCGGCACAAACTCTATTTAAAAAAATATCTAAAAGATTCTTAATCAATCAACTCTGTGTTCAAGATCCTTTCTATTTTTAATTTTGTATGTGATATAATCAAACCTTTTAACCGTTCTTATATATTCTTAGCACCCTTCTTTCACACGTGGGCTCAAACGCTAACTTGACTTATGTCAAACACAAAAACTCCGAGCTCTACTAGTATCATCTAATCATTGCTAAACTCAAAATTTTAAACTTATAACTCCCGCTCTACTAGTATCATCTAATCATTGCTAAACTCGAAATTTTAAACTTATAACTCCCGCTCTAATAATATCATCTAATCATTGCCAAACTCAAAATTTTAAACTTATAACTCCCGCTCTACTAGTATCATCTAATCATTGCTAAACTCGAAATTTTAAACTTATAACTCCCGCTCTAATAATATCATTTAATCATTGCTAAACGCAAAATTTTAAACTTATAACTCCCGCTCTACTACTATCATATAATCATTGCTAAACTCAAAATTTTAAACTTATAACTCCCACTCTACTAGTATCATCTAATCATTGCTAAACTCAAAACTTTAAACTCCCGCTCTACTAGTATCATATAATCATTGCTAAACTCAAAACTTTAAACTCCTACCCTACTAGTATCATATAATCATTGCTAAACTCAAAATTTTAAACTTATAACTCCCGCTCTACTAGTATCATCTAATCATACTTATAATTCTGGCTCTACTAGTATCATCTAATCATTGCTAAACTCAAAATTTTCAGAGTATGAATGTACCTCGGTGGTTCCAGATTCTGAGAATTCCTTGGGAAGTTCTGACGAGCTTTTTTCGCCTTCAAAGCACCATCTCCCCCTATAAAATGCTCATTCTGCATTTCAGAGAAGTCGATCTTTCTTGCATCCTCCATTTTTCCAGCAGCATTAATGTCAGTAAGTAATGTTGTTACCACATGCTCAGGCTGCCTCTGGTTGTTGTTAATCCTAGCTGCTGCTGCTGCTGCACCAGGCATCTGCTGTTGCTTTGCTTTGCTTTTCCCTTCATTTTTGCTTCTCCTTGTACCACCTTGCATTGTAGTTACAGACTGCTTCAACTGTTGTTCATCTTCATTGTTTTCTTGGCAAACCAGTTGTTTCTTCTTTGTTGAAGCCATTGTTTTTTGGATACCAACCAATGCATCAGAGACGTTTTCATGCTCTTGAGAACCGATGTTTACTCTTCCTCGATTATCGATTGCTTGAATCGAGGCCATCGACTTGTTAACGGGCGCTTTCGTCGGAAATGAAGGCTTTGATATTGGTTGGTTTTCGTTCGTTTCCGTTCGTACCTTGCTTCTTCTTATAAAGGCACCTCGATCCGTTGATATTGATCTCCTAACTGGTGGAGATGGTGACCTTGGGTTTCCAGAGCTGGAACTTGTTGTTGATCTCTCTTCAGCTAATAATGGCATTTTTATTGCATCTTTCTCTGTGAATGTAGAGGGAAATCTTGACCTTCTTTGCTTTCCTGAAGAGTAGCTTCTAGCCTGATATCATTCAAATGTTGTTAAAACACATAATATGAAAGAGAGTAATGGTTCTTTTATAAGTTGACATTTTTTTTTTTTACCTCCAAAGTTTTAGCTTCATCCAAAGGCCTTTGACAATTTTCAGGCTTAGCACCTCCATTGGTACCATGTCTTAGAACACGGAAGGGAGAGGCAGCTCTCGGCTTCGGATTTTCTACGAAGGCTCGAGCGTTTCCACTTTTTAGTTGTTCAAGCTCTGCATCCTTCCTCTCCAGTGCCGATTTGAGATTTGATATCTGAACATGAATATGAAGCACAAAGTTAAGTGCTAGCTTACATGAAAGGAAAAGAAGAAAATGGAATGGTAAGAACTAACCTCGTCTTTAAGTTCTCTAATTTGACCATTTTCTTTATTGCAGCGAGCTGCACCTAATTCTATAGAGGCAACTCTCTCAGCAAACTTAAGCGTGCTAATTGTCTCTCCAAGTGCATCAACTTCGGGGTTTATGTGTACAAACATCAAGGTCTTAGCATGTCCACCTGTTCGTTAAGGAAAATGGTAAACATGTCATAACTTACTTTGAATCAAGAACGAGTGTCATTCAATTTTGACAACATTTATAACGAAAAGCCAAGAACGAGTATCGTCCGACAGAATGCTTGAAAGGTTACCTAAAGAATCCTGCAAGAGTTGAGTTAGTTTGCTATTCCTGTAAGGAATATGTGAACTCTTTTGTGCAAGAGCAGAAATCACATCTCCAAGTGCAGAGAGGGATTTGTTTATATGTTGTGCTTCCTTTAGTCTGTCGCCGACAGCTTCAGATTTGTCCACTCTTTCACTCCCAGCTAGATCTACTAGATGAAGACACCCTCTAAGGTTGGATCCGGAGACCAAATCTCTTCCAAGTACATGAACTGTTAGAACACTACAACAAGATGAAGATGCATAAACATTTAGAGAGGGTCAAGATTGCTCCCACGTTAGCTAATATAGAGGATGATCATGGGTTTATAAGTAAGGAATACATCTCTATTGGTACGAGGGTTTTTGGGGAAGCCAGAGCAAAGCCATGAGAGCTTATGCTCAAAGTGGACAATATCGTACCATTGTAGAGAGTCGTGATTCCTAACATGGTATCAGAGTCATGCCCCTTAACTTAGCCATGTAAATAAAATCCTCAAATGTCGAACAAAGACGTTGTGAGCCTCGAAGGTGTAGCAAAAAAAGTGACTCAAGTGTCGAACAAAGGGTGTACTATGTTCAAGGGCTCCAAAGAAAGGAGTTGAGCCTCAATTAAGGGGAGGCTGTTCGATGGCTCTATTGACCTCAAGAGAGTCTCTATGGTGTACTTTGTTCGAGGGGAGGATTGTTGGGAGTGAGTCCCACATTGACTAACTTAGAGGATGATCATGAGTTTATAAGTAAGGAATACATCTCCATTGGTACGAGGCCTTTTGGGGAAGCCCAAAGTAAAGCCATGAGAGCTTATGCTCAAAGTGGACAATATCATACCATTGTGGAGAGTCGTGATTCCTAATACAGATTTGTAGGATTAAGTCAAAAGGAGAAAAGCTTCTACCTATGTGAACGACTACTTCTCTCGTTTAAAGCCGTAGCACCAACAGCTCGATTCTTCTGGCCAACTCTCATCAAACCAAGAACATCTTGAGTACATGTCACAGGAACCCAACTTGCATCAGGCACATTGAGGCCACTGAGTTGAGAGTTGTTTCGTATATCT